AAATGTTTTAAATATTTGGGTAGCTTGTTAACAGACGATGGAAGGTGTACTTGTGAACTTAAATCTAGGATTGCCATGGCAAAAGCTGCATCAAGAAGAAGAATCTTTTTACCAGCAAATTGGACTTAAACTTGAGAAAGAAACTAGTGAAATGCTACATTTGGAGCATGGCTTTGTATGGGGCTGAAACTTGGACACTTAGGGCAGTAGATCAGAAACATGTGGAAAGCTTCGAAATGTGGTGTTGGAGAAGGATGGAGAAGATCAGTTGGACCGATTATGTGAGAAATGAAGAAGTGTTATTTAGAGTCAGTGAGCAGAGGAATATCCTACACGAAATAAGAAAATGGAAGGCTAATTGGATTGGTCATATCTTTTGCAGTAACTGCCTTCTAAAAGAAGTTATTGAAGGAAAGACAGAGGGGTGGATAGAATTGACCAGAAGACGAGGAAGAAGATGTAAGAAGATGCTGGATGACCGTGGGGACAGAAGAGGATATTTTCATTTGAAGGAGAAAGCTCTAGATCGCATTAAGCGGAGGAACTGTTTTGGAAGAGACTTGTGGACCTGTCGTCTGACAGATTACTGATGAATGAATGAATCTGACAAAGTTGATCTGTTATGTCGAAACCCACACTGATGATCCTGAATAATTTCATCTATATGTAGACATATTAACCCTCAAAGACTATTGGGCAAAATTTTGTATGAAGTTGATAGCAGTGATATCCCTCGATAATTACTACAGTCAGTTTTATCACCCTTTTGTGAACTGGTACAATAATAGACTCCTTCCACTGATCAGGCAATTTTTCCTTATGCCAAATAGAAGTAATTAGTTTATGGATCTTAGAACGTAATATTTCGCCTCCTGCTTGAACAAGTTCTGCTGGAATTTGATCACTACCTGGCGATTTATACCTTTTCAATTATGCAATAGCACTTTCAACCTCAAAAGGGGCAGGATCAGGTATTAATGGCTCAGCGCTATGGATTTCTGTCTGCCTAACTTCACTGACCCTATGTACATTCAATAACTGAGAGAAGTAGTTCTTCCACCTATTCAAAATGTTGTAGGAATCTGCAAGCGGATCACCATTCTCATCTTTCACTAAGTTACTACTAGGTTGCTAACCCCTCTTAAAATCATTTATTCCTCTATACAGGTCTCTAATGTTCTTGTTCTTACTGTACATTGCAAGCTCTTCAATTTTGTCTTTCAGATATTCCCTCTTTTTATTCCTGAAAGGCCTGCTGGTTTCATGTCTTGTATTGTTCAGATGATCCTCATTTATTTTGCTTGGATCCTGTAACCATTGTAATTTGGCTTGTTTTCTTTGATCTAATAATTTTGAGCACCCTCCATCAAACCAGGGCTTATGCTTCTTCAGTTCATTATAACCTAGACTCTCCTAGGCAGAAATTTTTATATTCTCTCTAAATTTCCCAAGCTTTATTAACATCGACCTCAGTGTTCAAGCTTTCCAAGGCCGCGAACCTATTTGAGATTTCAACACAATACTCTTCTTTACCCTCTACCTCATTTAATTTCTTGAGATTGAACCTCTCCATATTAACTCCGTGCTTTGTTTGTCTGCTCACTGCAAGTCTTTCGCTAGCCTTTGCCACCACCAGGTAGTGGTCAGTATCACAATTTGCTGCCCCGAATGATCAGACTTCATGTGTACTTGAATGCAGTCTCCTATCTATCAAAATATGGTCGATTTTATTGTGTATCTTCCCATCATGGGATGTCCAAGTAAATTTATGGATTCTATAATGTGGGAACATTGTACTTTTGACAGTAAAATTTTCTGATGTGGCAAAGTTTACTGCTCTAACTCCATTATCATTACTAATTTCGTGCAAACTCTCATTCCCAATCGTTGGTTTGAAAATGTCTTCCCTCCTTACTTTGGCATTAAAATCTAACAAATTTTTGATAGGGTACTTCGGGAATTTATCAAATACATGTCTTAGTTCTTCATAGAACCTGTTCTTTAAGTCATCTATTGTATCTTCTGTTGGGGCATGAACATTCATAACGATGATATCACACCAGCGACCTTTTAGTATAACACAGTATGCACCAAAAATACAAGACTCAAAATCGCGCATCTCGAAAGCGCATGTACATTTTTTGACGGCATAGCTCCAGCCGCACGTGTTCTCAGTAGTGAAAAGGAAGTTGTGTTGTGCATTTGTTGCTGGAAATGGGTCTCTAGACAGAGGAAAACTATTCATAGTTGAGTATTATTTCCGCTCATACGGAAGTGGTTGCCAGACGACTCGCTTCCTTGGTTTTGAGCAGCCAGATATTATCATTCAGAAACCGCTACACAGTACACGTGTGACAGTATGGTGTGCCGACTCAGCACACGGTATATTAGGCCCCTATTTCATTGAGGATGAAGAAGGCAATGCTCTTACCATCACTCAAGAACGCTACAGGGACATGGTGATCGGACCATTTCTTCAGGATTTCAGAATTATCTGTGATGCAAGGGGCCTTCACATGAATAGACAGTGGTAGCAACATGACATATTTTCATTTCAGTACTGTAAATTTTGACGCATACTGTATATGATATCCTATCACTAATGAACTCTACTCTCTTAACTGCAGATTAACTGATTCTCTTATGTATGAAAAGACCTGTACCTAATTCATGAATTTCATTACTGTTTCCATAGAAAAATATATATTCACCTGCTGGTTCGATGCCACCTCTGTCCCACCTGAACTGTTTGCATAAGGCCCAGGTTTGGTGTAGAATTTAAGTGCTTTCTTGCATCTTACTGCTTGGCTTGTGGTTACATCTCATACCAAATGCTGGTTGTTTATTTCCTGAGCTTAGTGTATATTGCAGATTTTATCTTTAATGTTTTTGGGTCTATGAAATTGGTTTACAAATGCATGCACTAAGTGACAATGCTTTCAATGATCTAAATGCACCTTTGAAGAACTACTGTCACATGATATGCAGAGATAGAAAGCTGCTGAGATGAAGGAGAAATATGCTTTAATTTGGTGTGACTGAAGTGAATGGCAAGCTGGGGAAAACAAATATGGGTGGGCAGTAGTTGGAAGTGAGCATCTGATCACATGAACTATGACAGCACTAGTTTGTGACAATATAATGATGTTAGATCAGCCATATAATGCATATAGCATATAGTTATACCTATTGAGTCATATTACGTGACTGCTACTATTCTAATTTTCTTGTCTTGTAGTGCTTTGGTACTATTTCCGGTATCAGTAGTACCAAATAAATGCACTGAATTATTTCACCTTCTTTGAATTACTGACATGTGTACAGATACTCTACTGTTGTTCATAAAGTACTTACATGACCAAAACAGTTCTAACAAAATTAAGGGCTACCTTAGTAAGGACTAAATCCTTCACTCTGTAAGTACGAGAGACAACCTGTTTTCAGGTTAATCTATACAGGAT